AGAAAATCGAGAGGTGGAGCGCGCCGACAATACTTTCCCGCCGGCGTATATACACGATCATATACCACCCCTAGTCTCCCCACACCCCCCTAACAACAGTAGGGTGGTACAGTCCGGGTGAGAAGCCGTCGGCTACCCCGGGTCTGGTACAGCCCGCACAAAGACCGACGCCCTGCCGCCAGGGCGAAAAATAGAAGGGGGAAAAAAGTGCAGCCTGCAACCGAGAGGAACAGAGAGAGAGAGAGAGAGAGAGAGAGAGGACGGAGAGGGAGAGAAATTATTGGCGGTGAATCGTTTCTGGGACGAGGACCCCGGGAACGATTCGGATAATACGAAAGTGTGCGCCCGGGTAGTTCACTCTACGTGTTTTCCTTTTCTTCTTTTTTCTTCTTCTTTTTTTCTCCGTTGAATATTCTTTCCGAAGATCGATGCTCTCGGGGGCGGCGAAAAATTAAGGGAAAAGAGCGAGGGCCGCCTCCGCGGACGAGCATCGACGCGAAATATTTGGTGTCGCGTTAAGAATCCGTGGATTTTTTCGGGCTTGCGAACCGCGTTGGAAATATCTTGTCGTTTGTCACCCGAATGTTGCCCGCAGAGCGCAAAGACCAGCCGAGAATACGCTGCTCGGAATAATTGGAGAGCCTCGTGTTTGGACAATGAACCGTATATCGAGAATGAGAGAAATTCTGTATATTTAATACAGCTCAAGATTTTCGTACGCGAATAATATTTTTGTAATGGGCTATCGATCTTTCATTCAGTTATTCGCTGAATAAAATTCGAATATATAACCTGTTCGAACGCTTCCGCCTTGTTGGGTCGAAAAAATGTTTTTCTTTTTTTAAAAGTTTTTTCAAGTTCGAAGAATCGACGTTGCGATTTTGAAATTATCTTCCAAAGTTTAATCGTTTCCATAGACGCATATTTGCAGTCGATGGTTACGTAATTTCCAGTATTGAAAAACAAAAGTTTGGGGCTAGCAGACAATTTTACGAGTTCCGGAAGTGGACGTGTCCGTTGATAAATTGGACAGTTTTTTTTATTGCAAAGGCACCCGTAGGAAGACGGGAAATACATAGTCGGCGGCGATGTCGTACTTATAGTTTAATTCCGAACGCATGCAAGGATATTCGTAAAAATTCAGTTCCAGTTTTACTGTTCGCCGGCGGACAGAACTTTCGCGGGAAGCTAGTATTTATTCGTCTCGCGAATGGCAGGTTCGGAATAGAGCGTTTTTGGTACCTGCTAACGGGCTGGAATTATGCCGGATTCTTTCTCGTTTTACTCCGCTGGAATCGAACCGGAATCGGGGAGACTCGAGGAGAGTCGACGCTGACGATCCTCCTGCCAGCTTGTTTCTTTCTATCTTTTTGTATTTAGTTTCCTTTCGGTGTCCTCGTCTCTCTTGCCTCGGCTAAAAATACTTGGAAAATTTTTATTCTTTCGAAACCTCCGCTAACGAACAGTCTAAGCGTAAATTTCCTAGTTTCTGGCTACGGTTCGATACTCGAAGGGCGGATCCTGTCGAGAAAAATTGTCCAAAATGGCGGTCGATGCTCTGTCAATAATTTTATACGATATATAATTTCTCTTTCGTTAAACACGACGATATATTTCTCGTAAAAAAATTAAACGCGAACAGCGACTCCTGGGCTTTCTTTGGTCCTCCAGTTTTGTTTAAATTCAAGAGAAGCAAGTTTCGGACACTGATGTTTCAGTTTTGAGAAGTGCTTGCCGAGTTTCTCGCGAAGAACATTACGAAAGAACACTTCCGGGAGTCGGAAGACGCTGTTTTCCCGGCTCGGTACCAATTTTCTCGACGTTTCCCTAACGCCAAACGATGTACAATTTACAAAAATTGTCGTTTCGAGCCCGGGCTGTCCGCTGGAACTCCCCGGAAAGCTTAACCCCCGTTTCGTTTTAAAGGACGCGGCAGAAAACTGTCGAGAAATTTACTGGATTCGTTTTTAGAGGCGCGTAACGAAGAGGTTCGTTCGGTAATGTTAATAATAATATCGATGGGTTTTTATTCGGGTGTAAATGTCGGGTTGGCCAGGATCAGGCGACGAAACGTCTATTCGGTCCTCTGTCGGTTCGGTTATTACGATGCAACGACCTGGCCCGGATTTTCGCGTTTTTTTCCTCTCTCTCTGGGCGGGAGACTACTTCGGCCTGGACAAATTGAATTTAACTCCGGCTAATACGCCGGCCGAAAGAGCGCGTATTTCGCTGCTTTGTCCGTGCACACATCCTGGAAATCAGCGATGATTTGTGTGTCTCCGGGGCCGGCGACGGATTTTCCCTCCTTTTTTACCCACGCCGCCCGAGGATCGAGATTGAATTTCTTGCGCGTTGTCGCGCTTTTCCCCGGCTATCGCGCCGATTTTTTGCCCCCTCGACGCGCGACTATCGAGGGTTGGGACACTTTCGCAACCCAGAAGACCGTCTTTCCTGCCACGCGCTACCTTTCCAAACCCCAAAAAAATCGGTTCATCGAGGCAATCGCAATCATTTTTCAAAACGATCGAGATCGGGAAAATTTACCCGGTGTTATTAGAAAATTTTCCAAGTTTCGCGATGCTCGACGTCTTTACATACTGTTTTTCATGATTTGTGCGCACACGAGTTCGCGTTACGTATCGATCTAGCTTCTATGTGGAGCGTATCTTGGATACTACGCCGGTTTGCACAAAAGTTTCTCGAAAGTTACGCTCCGAAGTTGTGCGTCTTTTTATAGCAAAATGACAGGAAAGAGGCGCGAGAACGACACGGAATCCCAAGAACGTTCGAAAACCTGCCCGAATTTTGGGAAACGGTGCATTAACGAGTCTGCGTGATGCTCTTTTGGGCTGCCGGTGTCGATTTTCGGTGCATGTAAATTAATTACCATTTGTTTTTGCGTGCCACTTCAATGTTATCGTAACATTCTGAATGATACCGATACATGCAATTCCACTTGGACGTAATACTAGTTTAGGCTATTATTTATTTATTTTCTTTGCGGGGCTCCTCGCAGAATCTTTCATTCTCAGTTTCTACAGTTTTAATGTAACTCTTTGCAATAGAAAATATCCAATAAACGACGCAAGCACATGGGGGGTTAAATTATGCAGATCTTCCTACATTAAGAATTTTCTTTCGCGTCCCTTTCCTCTTTAGGAGCACAAGACGATCTCCCCAAGGGTGGTTGCCGAATTTCCACGCGATATTACTCAACGTTTCCGTCCTCTATCCTCGGTACGGTCCTTTCCGTTCGATCGCGGCGATTTTAGCTGGCTATGGAGTCGAACGTTGGTCAGAAATATAAATTCGCGCGAGAGTGGCGAGAGTTTGCTTGATTTGGCACCGTCAGGCTTACGCGGTCCGAAATAAATCTTCGCCGACCGCTCCGGAGGTCTCTGAAAACCGATTGTCTGGTCGAATTCGACGCGAGTAACCGTGTTCTCCTCCTTGTACTTGGTTCCCGGCCCTTGTTCGATTAAAAATAACAAGAAACAATGTATTAATAGTAGACCGGCGTCGGTTGTTCTTCCCAACTGCCAGCAAATTCCTCTAGTTTCCTGTCTGTCCAGCGACATCCGAAGGAATCTATGCCTAATTACCTACGAGCGTGCCTACGATACCGACCGAGGTTCTCCTGATTTACCCTCCACCCGAAACAGGTTATGTTCGAAGAGATGTTGGCCGAGGATATGGAAGAAACGCTGGTCCGTAGTTTTTGTTTCGCGCCTCGATTATCCTCGCACGAGCTTGTAGGTTCCCTTCAGCCCTTGGGAGCATTTAGCGTCCGTTCGAAAGTCGGTGTTCCCGACAGAATCGAATCCAGATAATTTCCGGCCGAAGACGCGCTAGGTTTCGGGGGTCAGAATGAAAAGGCGGAGAATGCGGAGGACGAGGGCCAGGGTTCGAGCAAAGGACGAGGCGAAGACAGAGGAGGCCTACACTAGCCGCTGAATAACGCATGACTGTCTGGCTTGAAATTATAGCATTTCACCCCCTCTTGCTCGCGGGAACCTACCCCTCGGCTCCCGTCCGCGCTTGTTCGCTGCGCTTTCATTCAATTATGCATCCAGCTTCGCCCACGCCTCCTCCTCCTCCTCCTCCCCGCGGCTCTTATTATTATTTTCCCGCGCGCGCGGCTTCGGCTCGCCGTCTTTTCTCGGCCTCGCCGCGCCCTCGGAGGCGGCGCTCTCGTCGCGAGCCGGATCCGGGAAGGTCGATCGTTAATCTCCGATGTTAATCTTTCTCCGCGCGTAATCAGGTGTGTTCGATCGAGGAAGCGCCGGTCGCTTCCGTGTGAACGAATCGAGACCGAGGCGAACAATTACTCGGCTCGCGGGAAAGCAGACCTTGAACCGCGGGGCCAAACAGGTTCACTCGGCCGATCGAGCACCGAGAAAACCGCGCGAGTCGAGCTTCTACAAAGATACTCTTGATCTCTTTCCCGGTAAATGCTTCGCTGAGGGATTCTACTCTCTGTAAACAGATTTGTCGCGACTTTTAGGGCGAATTCACTGATTTGCGGATCTTATTTTTCTTGGCAAGCGTCGATCGATCGGCGGAACGCGATGGACCAAGATGGCGGCCTCGAATGGTGTTACTAACGCGTGATAATAGAAAACAAAATGAGCGAGACTCCCACGAGCAGTTCTTTTATTTTACGATTCGTGTGTTTAAAAAATTTCAACCAATCTGGATGCGTTGATTAGCCCACGAAAGCCGTGTAACTACATCTTTATAGTCGCAAACGAGAACGTTAATTAGAGTCGCTTTTTGAAAAAACATGCAACCAAGGCGCATTCTACGCAGCAAAATGATGAGAAAAAGTTGCGAGTCCCCGTGACCGGAAATGCACGCACGGTGCGGTGCGTTCTCGAGCATGTTTCGAAAACCGTCCACACGACTGACCAAGAATACGCTTACAGTCTATGAATTCATTTTTTCGAACCAAACCCATTGGAACTTGGGAATCTACAGGGTTTCGTTGCGTTTTGTTTCAGGAAAGTGACAACCTCTGGTGGGACGCATTCGCGACCGAATTCTTCGAAGACGACGCGACCTTAACCCTCACGTTCTGCTTGGAGGATGGTCCCAAGAGATATAGTAAGTGTTCCATCGTCCGATAACTATTCCAGCTACGATGGTAATCGAGATATCGGCCATCTGTTATCGTTTCCCGAAGAATGCAAACCGGAGAACGCGTGTCAGGGATCAGTACTTTTTGCATTCGAACAATATTTCCTATACCGGACAATGGCTACGTGTAACGCAGCCAGTTCCGAAATAATTACGTGCCGGCGGAGAGCAATTTTGCAGTCGGTGGATTTTAATGCCCCCCTCTCCGTGCCTCGTTCCTGAATGCACGGTAACAACGTGATTACATGTCACATCGCGTCGTCGCCGAGCACAAACGACAGTTCCGCGATGCGCATTACCGATGCAATAAGATGCACCGGAGCGCGCGCGGCCGTCCTTGAATATAGAATTTTCCGAGCCCAGAAATCAACCGTCGCCTCGCTATCATTGTAACCGCGCGTTATATTATTTTATCTCCTCTTTATCCTTTTATCGCTATCGAGTTTTTTTTTTTGCCCCGAACTTCCGGCAAATAGCAAACGACGTGACGTTCGGAGCATTCAGACGCTCTTAGGTTAGCTACGATCCCCTTCCTTATGTATTTCGCGGTCCAAACGCAGTTCCCACCCCTTGACAATCGTTTTGTTTGTACTTTCAGCGATAGGCAGGACGTTAATACCTAGGTACTTCCGCTCGATATTCGAGGGCGGAGTGACGGAACTTTACTACAATTTGAAGCACCCGAAGGAGTCATTTCACAATACCAGCATAACCCTCGACTGTGATCACTGCGTAATGGTCACGCACCACGGAAAGCCGATGTTCACTAAGGTAAGGGGAACCAAAATGTCGCCGTGTTGTCGAGCGTTCGTCGTCTAGAAGAACCCTCGAGCCGTTCGCTTACTCCCGACGCATTAGAAATCATTATTCAGTATTTAACAATCAAAAAGGCGCGGATTCATGCTTCGAATCACACCGAACACCTGATTTAATGTGCAGCTCTTGGACCATATCCTCAACTTCCTTTTCTTTCCCGTTACGTTCCTCCTTTCTGTTCTCTTCGTGAACCGCTCCGGAGTAATATTTCCTCGATGCTTCGTGGAAAATTGTCTCTATTCTGGTCTAGTTGTTTGTCAAAACTTGTCGGGATCCTTTTTCACGAGTTGAACGCGTCTGTTCGCTCGGCAGGTATGCACGGAGGGTAGATTAATATTGGACTTCACCTTCGACGACCTTATGAGGATAAAGTCGTGGCACATGTCGGTGAGGACGCACAAGGAGCTGGTGCCTAGGTCCGTGGTCGGTATGCAACAAGACCCCACGATGCTCGAGCAGCTCAGCAAGAACATCACCAGGCAGGGCATCACCAATTCCACCTTGAACTACCTTAGGGTAAGTACAACTTAACCCTTCGCGATTGGAAGCGATAACTGCGGTTCGCTTTACGAGCCGAATCTAGATCACTCCATTTTCTTGCATCGACATTTTTAACCTTTCACACTCTGCTAAACGGAGGTCTCTCTTCGAACTTTAATGCCACCATTGTTAAACGAACGCGTTCACTTTATATTAGCGATTCTTCTTACGTCTATTTGTACAAAGCTAGTTTCTAAAATAAGCGGCCAAAAGGATTGTTTCTGTGGTTGAGATTTGTTTGAAATTGATAAAAAATGGAAGATGTAATTAAACGGTTTGGTTCCGTGGGGACACCTTGTGTATTGACGATATACACGGTGAACGCAAAGGGCTAAACGAGCCAGGAATCGTGAAGAGATCGGCTTCGCGAAAGTACAACCGAGTATCCGGGTTACGATCCACCTTCTTTTCCACGCTCGGAAGCGCTTTCACTCGCGCGTATCGTTGCTCTCTGCTCGCTGAAACGATTGTTGTGTCGTTAATCGAAAGCTGTCGAGAAAACCTGTCGAACTCGGTCTGTTGATTGCGAAGAAACGTCGAGAAACGTTCTAACCGTTCGCATACATATTTACAGTTCGACTTTACAATAATTTTTCGCGACTAAAATATCGAAAATCGGGCCATTTATTGGACGAGATCGATTGCAATAGTCTAAATGACGCTAGAAAAGTATTCCGACGATCAGTTTTTATTTTCAAACGAAATTGAATTTATGGCTTTGCTATCGAGCATACTTTGCAACCTGATATTATTAATTTCTTTCTTTTAAATTCGCGAACGTTTCGAAATTTGTCCCCGGAATTAATTGCAAATTAAATCGCGCAACAAAATCTCCTACGGCGATATTAACGGGAACATTAATTAAAATCTAGTCGAAATTCGTAAAATTTCGGCGGTCCGCGTTTCTATCCAATCATGCGCCATCGATTATTTTAATTGTCATCATTATAGCATAAAGGCCTGTCGGGATATTACGCGCTTACGACGACGACGACAATGATGATGATGACGATAATAATAATAATAATAATAATAATAATAATGATGTAAAATGGATTCGAGTTTTATCACAGGCAAACGTAAACCAAATTTAATTTGCTACGAGCACGCCGCGTTGCGCGCCACGCGAATATATTTTAGGAAGTTTATTTTCAACCGGTACACGGTCGTATACGATAATTTTCATATTAATAGCGCGCGTAAGTTCCCTGTCGAAGTCGCGTCGGATTAAATAACAGTCGCGTTGGTTTCGTTTCCGATTAGTTTCGTTTGGATTTGCATGGGAAATCATTCCCGAAACAAAAATACGTGTACGTTTCTGCTCGGTTCTCGGGGGAGCTCTACAGGTCTCGCATAAGCAGGAGTTCCCGTTCAGAAATAACAATCGCAATTAAATATACTACCAAATGTCCATAATACGCCCATAAAAGTTCAACAAACACGACTCTTTTGCAACTCGACGTTTCAGTTTATTTTATAACATCCAAGCGATTGTATTATCTCGTATATATATATATATATATTTTTTTTTATTTTGTCGATACTACCATTGGTCTATTCACATTTATACCGAAAATTATTTGGACTCTTGTACTTCGAGACCCGATTATTACAGTTGGACTAATGGCGAGCGTGTTTGCAACGGGCATCCTCGATGATTTCCGAGCAGAAACAAAGCAATCAAGGCCAAGTTCGAGCTGCCCCAGTTAATGATAACCATTCTCCGGCTGTTTTTTTCCAGTTATGCGTGATCTTGGAGCCGATGCAGGAGCTAATGTCGAGGCACAAGGCGTACGCGTTGTCACCGCGGGACTGTTTGAAGACGACCTTGTTCCAGAAATGGCAGAGGATGGTTGCCCCGCCGGGTAAGAGAGGTAGACGAACAGTTGCTTTACATGAGAAGCACCAGCCAGTGGAGCCAAACGGCCGACCAGTCTACCGCAGGATTTGGTTTTTGATCGGGCAAACGACGGAAACTCGTCGTCGACTTGTTTTCGCGCCACGAATCTCGGTTCCGATCGGTTTCCACGGCCAGAAATTCCTCTGTTTTCTTCTCCGACAAACCACCTTAATCCCTTCCCTAATTGCATGCAACGAAAAGCAGGAATCCTTTGCCTCCGTGTTTGTCTACGGTAACCTAAACACGGGGCAGGAAAATGTTGGACCTAACGTTCGAATTTCGATGCTAATTCCGCTGACTTGGTACCCGATCGAACAAACGTTATCGATACAGAGATAATCGCGATCGCGATACAAAGTTAATTCATTAATTAATTGTTCGGAAGTTGAAAGTAATTAGTAATTAATTTAATATCGAAGTTAGCTTCTTTCTGGCTGGAGGGGCCGAGCTTACGAACGATGGTCGGTGGCAGATAACAGCCGCTCCTTGATTCTTTCCGATCGGGCTGGCATTGCGTGTGCCTCGAACGGCCAAAGCTCTTCTTTTCGCAGTCTTATCTCTCGTTTTTATCATGCGTATGCGTGCATCGCGTTTCCTGTTTCACCCGCGACCCTCCTCCGATCCTCCCCCCCTCCACGGTTATCCTTTGATTCAAGGTCGACGAAATCATGGAACCGAGCGCGTTAGAACTAATCGGATAACTTCGATGCAATGCGTGTTTCTCTGTAAAGATCCTACGTGAGTGCAGACTTTTCCTAAGTAGCTTTTAATGGAGAAAGAGACGTAATCTTAGTAAACGTACATTATATCTATTCTGTTCTGTCCACCGATGCATGCATGCTTGTGTGTGTCAGAGACCTTTGATGCGAAGAAAGGTCCAATGCTGGGTAGCGGTCTGAAGTTTCTTAGCGCGCTGCTACATGGCTAGCGTCGTTACGCGAACGCGATCGGACACCGACGGTTCATCGCGAATTTGTTCTTCCAGAGTCCCAGAGGCCGGCCAGCAAAAGAAGAAAGCGAAAGGGGAGCACGTCGGGCCCGGGGAACAACGCGCCGCCCGCGCCGAGCAAAAAGAGATCGCCGGGGCCTAATTTTTCTCTGGCGTCACAGGTGAGCCCTCGTTGAAAAGCCATTCGTCCCTGGAACATGGTATTTTCAGTCTCTAGAGGCTACCGTCTTTAACCCTTTCGTTCAATACGCCTGGCTTGGTCCTGAATACGTTGCTACTGTCGTTGCATTTTATTTAATTTACCATCTCGCGAGAGCTACTTGGAAAACCTAGGGACGGTAGAACTTTCGAGGTTTATTTTAAAAAATGGCTTAGAGCCTCCATTAGACTTTGAAGTCCCATTAGGTTATCAGGTTCGTAGCTTGGCAACGTGTTTTGGCGATAAAGTCTGTCCAGCAAAGGTACTCTAGAGACATATTTTAAAGACATGTTGTAACAGAACACCGTTCGCAATTACCATTTAACCGGTAAGATAATCGAATCGACGGGGAAGGTAGTGGCGAACGGATCGTTTAACGATTCCTCGATTTCCCGTCGGTGCAGGACGTAATGGTCGTGGGTGAACCGTCGCTGATGGGAGGCGACTTTGGCGACGAGGACGAACGGCTAATCACAAGGTTGGAAAACACGCAATACGACGCCGCGAATAGTTTGGACCCGCACAGTCACGATACGTCCGGCGGACCACCCCCGCATCCTCACCAATTCCACTCGGAACCAACACCGGGAAACTCTTGGCCGCCAGATCGCGGTCCTGGCCCGCCACAGGGAGGACCCGGTAGCCAGGTAATTATTATTTCGATTCGCTCGAAAATCGACGATACGGATACACACGGTGGCGGCTTCTTGTTTCTTCATTGTTTCCACTGTTGACTCCTTTATTCAGATGGATATATGTCCCCACTGCGCATGGGGCCGGAAAGTTCTGGCCGTTCAAGGCCACTGAGCAGCTATCCCCGCCATAGCGTTCGGCTACCCTGTCCCTCCATCTTTCACACGCTCTCTGTCGCTCAAATAGATAGGTGGCACGGCGTGAAAGTAGGAGTCGGGCCTGGCGTGAATCACGGTTGGGGAAGTGGCCTTGAGCGGCCAATTGATTTCGTCCCGAATGCAGGGTGATTCACTAAAAACAGGCGATCTTAACGTCTTCGCCGTTTAAAATAATCGAAAGGATCGTTGCTTACAAAAGTTGCAGGGCTTCGAAGGATACATGATAGGATAGCGGGGTAGTTGAGTCGGGGAGAGTGGACACGGACAGAAGAAATTCAAGGATGTTGAGAATATCTTGGAAAATTATTAGTTTCAGGACAGACGTAGCCGATCACGTAATCTCGAAATCCATTGCTCCGTACGAGACGAGCGTAGAAAAAATTGATCGTTTCGTTTACAGAAAAGAAGTTTACCCTCGAAACTGTTGGACGCCTCTGTGATCGCCACCGTATTATGCCCCCCGTCCCGAAACCATACAACTTTTGTAAGCAACGATTCTGCCTATTATTTAAAATGGCCAAGAAATATTTGAGTGGGCTGTTTCCAGTGTAACAGCCTGTATGATAGAGGAAGGTCACCAATAATCGTTGGTCCGTGTGCGGTGTTTCAGGGTGTGCAAGGCGGTCAAGGGGGCGCGCAAGGAGGTGTACAGGGATCGCAGGACGCCAGTCAGCAACAACAAGATAAGAAGAGCCCCGCGGTGAGCCAGTGAGGCCAGGAGTCCCCGCGCCTCCCCACCAGGGGGCGACGGGGGCGCAGGCCCAAGAACGTGGCTCCCTAGCGGGGCGAGAACCCTAACCTCCCTGGCGCGTACCTGGCCTCGGCTGGCCCCGCAGCTGGTCGGTTTTCGCACGTAGGCGTCGGCGTCGGCGTTGGCGTCCACCCGCTTGCCTGCCATCATCAGGCCGCCGGGCTGCCGGGCCATCATACGGAACAGCAGTTGCAATTGGGTCACGCCGCGGCTGCAGCCGCCGCCGCGGCCTCCATGGGGATGGAATCCTCGGAGCTGGTGGCGGTGGCACACTACCAGGCGCAACAGCTTCAGCGACAATTGTTGGCCGAGCAGTCGGGCCCAGCAGGCACGATGCTGCCGCCGGCTGCTCAGCCTACTGGTGGAGGTTTGACGCAGCCGCTCCAGCAAGGCCAGCAAGCTCCTCAATCTCAGGGCCAAGATCCGCTGCAGAGCCTGATGCAGCAGCTGATCTGTCTGCAGCAGATCGAGTACTTTCTCGCTCAGCGCGGTCACAAGTGATGGGAATGGTCCGTGAACGCCGGGGAGTGAAGGTCGCGATGAGTGGACTAGACGCGACGGGGACTCGACGCGAGATAGATTTGGTGCGTGTCCGAACGGGGTGTGTACCATGTTCCGTTGCGCAGGTACGCGACCTTTCCGGTGTGCTGTGACCCGTTTTTACGCTGTCGAGGCCGAGGGGGATGGACGCACGTTCCCGTTCGAGGTGTCTAGCCGTCTACGTTTCTCGATCCTCGGACGGTGGGGGGAGGGGCCCGCGCGCGCGGTGTTCACGAGTTGTTCGTCGCGCCGGGAGGAACGCCGGAAGAGGGCAGCCTCTTTCGATCGACGGGACCGGCCTCGCTCGGGCCAGCGGCCGAGCGTTTAGCTCGTGTGATAAAACATATTACGTCGAAGGAAAGAATTCGAGAGACAAAAATATTATTAAAATAAAGAAAGGGAGATTGACTGGGCGGTGAAACGCTTCTCGGGGGAAACGAATCGAGGTTGAAACGAATACAGTTTAAACGCCACGCGCTGCGGCAGAGACGATCACTCGCTCTGGTGCCGAGCTGTGAATGAATCTCTATCCGTCAACAGTATTGATATAATTAATAGAATAAATGAATATAAAAAAAAAATTATTGTAAGAGGTATATGGTAAGTACGACTTATTGTGCAAGCGTATGCGAGATAGGAGAGTGTGGTATGATGTCGAATAGGGGGGTGGGGGGATGGGGGATGGGGGATGAGGGATGAGGGATGAGAGGATGTGGGTGTGTTAGAAGACCGGATCGTCTCTTAGACTCGAAGATTTTCAAGCGCGGAGCCCGATCGAACGCCAACGCACAGGCCCTGATTGCCCCGGGGAAAAAAAGAAACGAGAAAAATACACGAACGTGGACGTCTTTGTAACGTTTTATCCCTTTGTTGTTACTAATATTAAGAACGGAACCGAGACCACGGAGAGGAAGGGGGGAGGGAGTGAAAGTATTTTGCACGTCCAGACGCAAAAAGTCCCAGACGTCAGTCAGGCGTTTTCAAGCATTTCGCGATCAACCACCGGTACCAGGAATCACGGAACTTACCCTCGTAGCTGTTAAGCGTATTTCTCGCATCTTTGTCGCACAGCACAGCGCGTACCCACGTCCGACGATCGTCGTGTGACCGTTTTTCTTTTCTCCACGGAGTACACACAGTACCATTTTTTCGCCGGTGTGCACGCGGTCGCGAGAACTCCGGTTACTTAATCGCGCGCGATGATCTAATTTCGTTCGACGCGACGCGACACACCAAAACACCAATACACACATACACGCGTATATTGAGAGGAAAACATCCACGCGGCACCGATTATGTACACTATGAATCATTCTAGTATAAAGTTCCTTGCGCGTTACGTTTGTACATGATATATGTATATGTTCCTCATTGTATGCTTATACGTTTGTTCCTATTTTTGTATTAATCCGCGTGATTCGTTGTGTTCTCTTCCTTCGCTGTTGAGCTTTCGGGCCAATCAGAACGGGGCATTATATATACACCGACGATTCGAAGGCGTACGCTCGGTTCCTCGTCGCGTCGAGCCATTCCATGCGCGGCGGACGTCGTTTCGATGGCGTCTTCCGGCGTGCTCCGCGCCTCGCCTCGGGACTTTCTCGAATCATCGTCGTCGAACGCGATCTTCGAATCCTGATCCTCGCGCGTCTAAGTTGTTCTTTACGAAGGCAGATCACGAAGAAGGCTGAACGGAAGATCGTGGATTCGAAGCTGTCACTCGTAGTACGCTAAACTTAATTGTAAGAAAGGAACATCGCTCTAGTTGTATATCGTGAATCACATCACACGTACACGTACATATGTATTTATTAGTTTTTTGTCACCTCGACTGGTGTCACCGCGAAGGCACGGCGTTGGTACGAGCTCTGCTTCGATTGTAATTCAATTAAAAAAGAAAAAAAATCACAATCTGAAACCGCTTGAAACACTCTGCGTCTTTTATTTGTCGACGTTCTTTGTCTCTCTGCGAGCCGCTCTTCGACTTTGGTCCCGATTCCTCTCGATTACGCGCGCAGTTCGATCGTGGCTGGTTCGAGCGCCTTCGAGGATTGTTCGAGGATCGAACCAGCCGCGATCGATCGCATCCCGTCGATTTGGAGGAAGTCGAAACGACTCGGTCCCCCGATGGATCGATCAAAGTGGACTCGAGCTTCGATCCAACCAGACGACACACGGTACCATACGTTTCGAAGCCAAAATTAAGCCCCAAGTCCCGAAGAAATGCTAACCTAGACATCGATGATACGTTTACCGCTATTGCACTTTCCGAGGCGTACTGTAAAAGTCTGATTACCCGGCAAGATCATCGAAATTATTATCCGGGCGTGTCACCGTGGCGTCCTCGAACGTGCACAAGACCTGGATAGATTAGTATTGGATCGAAGGGAACCTTTAACCCTTCCCAAGGTCGGCTAAAACGCATCCGAATTCTTTCGAGAACTGATCGTTCGAGCTCTCCCGACTTCACCGTGGCACGTCGGGCGAACACTTCGAGGAAAGAGAAGATACGCTCTGTGGAGGATCGACCGATCCGCCATATTGAACTGTGAATGACACGAGGGTGTGGGGGAGGGGGCACGAACGTCGGCGTTTCATCACGTCCATTGAACTCTGCGCTTTCGGGTGGTTCCACTTCGGACGCGCGTCTCTGGTGAAGGATATAGAACTTTTCGAATATGTACAAAGTCATCGTATACACACGCGTCATGCACCACACACACGGATACGCGTCGTTCGCCCGGCGATGTTTGGTCCGCCTTTGGATCTCTGTCCACCCGGGAGGACGAGAAGAAGCGGGGAAACGCGGATCGGGACGGAGCGACGGTACGCACGCACACACACACACACACACACACACACCTACACCAACACATACACACACCACACACCCAGTTGCAACTACAAATCATTGAATTAGATAGTTAAGCTACGCGTGAAGCCAGTACAGTCCCACGGCGTGAGAGTGTGCGAACAAAAATGCTGGAAGCGAGGGGTGGGGGGTAATTTCGTATATAACGAAGAAAAGTATGCCTGGCACGCGAGGAAGTTAGCGGCAAGAAAATGTGAGTGAGCGTAATTCTGAGTGAGAAAAAATGAGAGCAAGAATGGGATAATAGAGAGAAAGAGAGAGAGTGAGCTGGACTAAATGATTATTTCGACACGAGCATGCGGTGGGTTTTAGGATAAATGATCTATTGACAAATGTTGTATATTATTACGAATTATAATGACACTATTATAATTAATTAATTAATTAATTAATTATTATACCCTAATAATGTGAATTGAATTTAAACGACACAAAACGAGGGCTGGAGATACACGCAAACGATAAGCAAATAGGGAAAAAAATTTTTAATTGTTAGCGGGAAGAGCAAGCACGGAGCCCGTGGATAAACAGCCCAGGTTCAAGCTCCGAGTGCAGACCGAGCCCGACCGGAGTCTAGCGAGTTTCTCGACGCGACGAGATTAACAAAGCACCTCCAGTTTAATGCATTCTTGTGATACAGTGTCGATCTTGAATCGAAATCGGAGGACTAGAAATATTCTTACCGCGTCGTGGCGGTCCTCGTTGGCCAAAAATACAGATTAGTTTTCAAAGTTGCGTAAATTGCGCAGACGTTAAGCGAATAACTTGTTCGAAAGGGGTCTCGCACTAATCCGCAAAGGAATCTCGGTGTTCCTCGTCGATTCTTCGATGGCTATTCGGAGTTCGCGTCCTCTCTGGTTCCTGCCTTGGTACTCCGCCGAGAGAAGAGAATTGGAAACGCCTGAAATGGAGAAAATCTATTCACCGTCGAGTCACTGCTTCCTTTGTCCCTTCTACCGATCTTGCAGATCTCACTCGAAACGTATCGAATATGGACTGCTGCTCGAGAGTCTTAGAACAGTTACTGCAGCAGCAGTGCAGTAGTGCCTCGTTAATTGCAAAAAAATTAGGTCTGAATATCTATATAAGGAGTTCCACGTACATCCGTATATCTCCAATGTTCCTTCCGCTTCTAACTTTATTTATTATTAAATAGCGTCACCTCCACTTGTCGGTACGATGCAACCATCGAGGCTCGTAGTAGTTGCATTGATCGAGGTTCTATTGTAACAATGACTTTATCGTTTCTTTGTACATTTTAAGATAGTTACCTTATTTTATTTTCATCGGTATACCTGTCAGGTTTCTTGATCATCGGCTTATACTAATTTTGCTGACAATTAATACAACTTATTAAATTAAAAATTTTCGTTTCAATTAACCTCGATAAACTGTACTATTTTATATATATATAAAAGTTCTACTAGTATGCATGGAAACGTGATATTTCTAAGATCAGCTTAGAAACTAACTCTGCAACCTACGCCTACGATTTTCGCGCAGGAGAAGCGATTTCTCTGGATAAACAGAGAACAAAATAGCAGAAAAGATCGTTCCTTTCCGTCCACAGCGACTGTAGACCCGCACGGAAGCAATTCTTTCCAAGAAATTTTGGTCTCGAGTCAGAAAGGTAGATCTTGACTCACGGACGAGCAGGAGTTTGCGCTCGAAAGTATTATTCGCGACCTTTGAACCGAGTAGTAATTAAACGAAAGAAACCCTGTACCTTTTGTCCTTGGCCCTGAGAAATTCCAGAAGATCAACGACCAAAGCAAGCAGAAGCAAAAAGAGATTCGACGAAGTAAAACCGCGATCCTGGCCGATTAGTGTCCAACCCCTAACAATGGAACCATAACGGAGCGTGTCAGTCCTTCGTGTACGAAATTATATCAAAACCGAAGTAAAACAGTGTTCTTCCTCGCAAGTATCCGATCGTCGGTCTGCATGAGAACAGAGTTGGGCAAAATTTTATCATTTGTGAATAACAAATGGTTGTTGCAATCATCGTATAGCGAATTGTTCGATCGTTACGCTTCGGTTCAATTTTATTATACAAACTCCACGACTCTACGAGTCTGTCTTGTACTCGTTATTAAAAAATTTCTATTTCGATTAGAATTTTGTCCATCTCTGGCTGAGAATGTGTTCCGAGCAATTGTCTATGAAACGGTCAGTCCCGTGTACGATGCTGAGAAAAGAAACGTGCCGCTCGTTGTCGATACGACAAGCTAAAGTTATCGTTGTTCCAAGTTCAGAGGATCGAATCCTCGCGTGCTCTCGTCCTGGAGCCGAGTTTCTCTGCCCCTGTTACTTTTCGAGCGCAACGCGTTCGCTTCGATCGCCATTTTTTCAAATCCTTCGACGGACGCGTCGCGCAATGATCCCCGATCGTCGTCCAAGTTGAAATCGTTTCATCCAGAGACGGGCGACACTTTGTTCGAACGAACAGAACGTGACGTTTACATTTTTCGTCCAGCATTCGTGAAACATTTAGCTCCACGACCAAAATTCTAACTTTTATTTAACGAGTAACCGGATAATTCGAAGTCTATATCCAGATAAGAATTTTGCCCATCTCTGGTGTCAACCCCTCGCCTTTAGGCAAACGTTTAACCCCTTCTTCTCCTAAATAAAAGGATTAACGGGCAATTTAAGCGAAGAAAGATAGAAATAGTCAACGTTTTGAAAATTCCAAGCAACGAGGTTTATTTGTAAGAGTATCGTTCGTCTTGTAAGTATAACTTTCGGTGGAGACTACCAAGATGGCGGCTAGAAGTTACCGGACGGTTCGACTCTGCTTCGAAGTGGCCGAGTTAGGAGGAACTTTTGGTAACGAGGGATTAGAATACGGCGAACTTCTGCCAACCTAACCTTACTTTTTCGCCTTCGAAGCAAAGCGGAAGATCGTTGCGCGCCATTGTATATTGCAAGGAATTTAGCGTCGTATCAACCGACGATATTCCGTATCGCTAGAACCGTCAGAATTCCTGGTTGAACGCGACGTACTTTTATTAGAGAAATACTTTCGACGACCTAATCAAAATTAGCTAAGACACGAGGGGTTGAACGATGCGGAAATGAGACGAAAGAGAGGAACGATGGTCGGACGAGGCCGTTTTTGTTCATCTGTAAATATCCTGTCCTCTGAATTTGGCACTAAATCCGTGCCTGTGTGGTCGGTGTGAAAGATACTCGAGATTTTCGATCAGCGCGTCGGTCGATCGCTAATACAGGACCAGTCTTGAGCGACGAATGTGCACCGATATAGTGTATAAAAAAAAATGGGGAAGAGAAATGAAAATATTAGCGAATTAGGGACGATTACATAAAACGCGATCAAGGGATTAATTACACATTACCCCCTCAGTGGACATGGGCCAGCTCGGTATATTATATTAATATACATTCAAAGTTGGCCCATCGCCATGACCAATGAAGTAATAAGGGAGAGACAAGATGAAGCGAACAAACAGACAAACAAAAAAAAAAAAAATTGTCATCTAATTACATTTTTACGCACTCCAAATTTTTATCCTCGTCATTTGTATCATAGCGACATGTGTTTAAAGAAGAATCCACATTATATGTATGTAATCAAAATTGTAACTGACAAAACGTTAATAAAAAAATGATATTCGAACTTGTCATTTACTCCGATCCGAACGAGAACGATGGGAACCGGAGTTTGAAAGTTTCATCTAGCATTAATTGTTTGCATTCGTCATATTTTTATTCATATAATTTACTCGAGAGGTTCCATCATCTTCAAACAAATTATATAGAACGGGAAAAGAATTTATTCAGGGCTTGACATATTTCGATCATTACTAAAGGCGATTCTTATTTTAGCATTCCTTTTATATTTCAAGTAGCTTTGTTAAACATTAAGCGAAATACAAATACTACTATACTAGTCAGCTGATGGTATATTTGAAGAATAAAATTTGCTTCCAACCATCACAAAATGGTGACTCTACCACGGACGAGGTATACGAGTAGAGCTTTCACCTTGTGGATAGTGATGCCAGATTGAGCACCGGGTGCACTACTCACACTATGCCAGATCACGCGTACGTGAGCTCGTGGAGTTTCGGAGAGTCGGCAAAGGCAACCTGTCACATGCCCCCTTTCTCGATTCTCCGAAGCTGCCCGAAGTAATCTCGGACCGTCTCGCGGGAGTCGAGAGAGGAAGGCTCATTTGCCTTCTCGCACTTGAACAACTAAAATTCGACCTCACGTCGACGGCATACGATTCCAAGTCTCGACTGCCCAGCCTCTGTTGGCCTCTCCTGACATCCGCTTATATTTCTGACGACGTATAACGATTACTACTGAATTCTGCCTGCCTCCGCCGGCCTTTCTTGACCGCTGCTGACCATTCCTCATACTTCGGACAACGTATGACGATTACAACTTGCTATTAGTTGCCCCTGCTGGTCTCTGCTTGCCACTGCTTGCTACTGCTGGCCTCCACTGGCCTCCGCTGACCACTGCTGACCACCCCTGATGCTTCCGACAACGTATAACTATTACTACTTGTTACTGCTTGCCCCTGCTGTCCCCTGCTGACCCCTGCTGACCACTCCTGGTACTTCGTGCAACGTATAACGACTACGACTGGCTACTGCTAGCCTCTCCCTGCCTCTGCTGGCCTTTGCTGACCACCGCTTATATTTCTGACAACGCACAACGATTACTAATGACTTCTGCCAACCTTTGCTGGACGCTGCTGACCTTTCCTGGTATTTCTGACAACGTATAACGATTACGACTGGCTACTGCTTGCCACTGCTGGACTCTGCTGTCCACGGCTAGCCTCCGCTGGCCTCTGCTGACCACCCCTGATGCTTCTGACAACGTATAACTATTACTACTTGTTACTGCTGGTCTCTGCATGCCTCTGCATCCCTCTGTTGGCCCCTGCCGACCACTGCTGACCACTGCTGACCTTTGTTATCAACTTCTGACATGATGTATAAGTATTCAAGCCTTGTATAATGTAAATCTATGGCAATAAATGATATAATTTAACAGAATTCAATGTGTTCTCATCATTTCTACCTTTCTTTTCCTCTCCAAATCATTGCCTTAGTTTTAAGAGACCGTTTTCCGGTTAAAATTGGATTTCCAAAGTGTCCAGCTCTCGTACTTGCTGCCAAAATCAAAAATTAAAAGTCCTGAAACAATTGGAAAGTCCTGAAACAACTGGAAAGTCCTGAAACGGCTTTTAATTTTGGAAGTCCTGAAACGGCTTTTAATTTTGGAAGTCCTGAAACAGCTGGAAAGCCCTGAAACATCTGGAAAGTCCTGTAACAGCTGGGAAGTCCTGAAACAGCTGGGAAGCCCTGAA